AAATGAGCTAAAAATACTTACTTCATTTATAAAAAATCAAATGCTCTAGACTAACTATTTGACCTTTGAAATACAGAATAGAAACATGACCAAGTTTTGGCTGAATTTCCTATTACTTGCTTATTTTCCCATTTTTGAAAGATCACCAAACTATTCTACCTTTGGGAAAAGAGAAGTTTAACCAATTAGTATTTTTAGCTCAGTATTCTAAGTTTAGTTACTGTGTTCAGTATAAAACAATCTCTTACTCCTGAGAGATAGATATAATCGATGTAACTTATATTTTGTATAAAATGTTTCAACTTAAATCAGCTAAGAAGACAATCTAATTATGTCCCAAAGCTTATTTTTAAAACAATTATTCCAGATTTAACCAATTACAAAATAATGTTCATATCCATAAAATCTCTTTAGTGTAGTTACATAGGTATATACAGATACAGAAGTGATATTGGGGATTGAACCCAACCACTGACCTATGTATTTACATCTCTCTTCATTTTCAGACAGTCTTCCTAAATTGCCTATGGAAGCAATTCCTAAATTGTTGGAGGGGACTACCAAGTCAACCTTAATTATTTTCTTAAAGCAATTTTTTCTAAAAATATATATGTATAACATATATTACAGATATATAACTCTAAAGCTAATATAATAATATGTATTAAATTTAAAGACATAAAGAGTCTGTCTTTGTGGCTTATATCAACAATACTGATAAGAGGAAAAAAGCCATTTCTTCCAACTGTTCAATACAGGGGCCTTGCCATATCCCATTTTTAAACACAGTTTTTAATAGTCATGGAATATTTCATTATTTCTAGAGTTATTAAAACACTTAGCCAATACTTACAATGATTCTGTTTCTTTCTTTTATTTTTGTACCCCAATGCTAGGGATTGAACCCAGGACCCCAACATGCTAGGTAAGGGTCTATCACTAAGTTATACACCTAGCCCTGTTAAATTTTGTATCATTTACCAAATTAAACTTTAGGACTATTTTTTTTTTTTAACTGAAAAAAAAATACATAGATTTCGGGGCAATTATGAGAACTAAATAATAATCCTACACTCTGAAAAGTAACATCTAAAACAGAGGTGCTATATAGTGTACCCAGCATTATCTTGAGGTTAAACATGTTTCTGACAGATTTCTGGAATTAAGTCTTTTGTAATCTGTGTCTCAAAGAAAGGAGGTTATTATGGCATTGTTCAAATAACAAACAAGAGGCAACATTACAGTGTGCAGGGTGTGATGCTAAATCTTCCCCTTCCCTTTTTATACAAAGTTTTCAACCCACCCACCAAAAATAAAATATATATAATGCATAATGCAAAATACCTAAACAAATATGTAATTTATTCAAAATTAGGTCTTTGAAGAGAAAAGAGATAATGATGAAAAAACTGTTTAAAGGATCTTGAAATAGCCTTCCTAGATCCTGCTAACGTAACAGAGAGTTGGAGGGGGGAAAAGCCAAATTGTTTTCTATTATTAAATTTAGGGGAAAAAAAGATCTCTAACAACTGTTTTCACATGGCTGTGAACAGTGGTACTACTTGTTATATCCGACTAAAACTGTGACATCTGAACCTTTTTACCACGGAGAGGTAAAGTAAAATATCCTTAATAGTAATACTTGTGGGTTTTATCATTCATTGAAATTGTGACTGACCCTGATTGTTGAGAGTTTAGACTTTATCTTACTCCCTCTCTAAAAAGGTCTCTTTCATTTACAAAGAAGCAGTGACATGTGAGGAAGAGAGATGACAAACAAACTGAGCATTAAATGGTTTCAAAATTTTCTTCTAGGGGCTGGGAGTGTAGCTCAATGGCAGAGCACTTGCCTGGCATGTGTGAGGCACTGAGTTCTATCTATCCTCAGCACCACATATAAATAAATAAATAATAAAGGTACATAAACAACTAAAAAATATTTTTAAAAAGTTTCTTCTAATAGAAATTGCTTTTGGAACATAAAAACAAGGAATAATTGAATAATGAAACTAAAATATTAAGCACTACATGAACAAAACTTTTCCAGGCCCAGTAGTGCATGCCTATAATCCCAGGAACTCAGAAGGATCTCAAGTTCAAGGCCAGCCTGGGCAACTAATGAGATGGCCTTAAAAAAAAAAAAAAAAAAAAAAAAAAGAGAATGGAAATTCCAAAACATTTTGAAGTTTGGCACGTTCTCACATTCCAAAGCATGTGAAGTATGTAACTTAAAACAAGCAAATAAACAAAAACTTTAAATAATGCCTGATATTCAAAACTTGAGTTACACCTTTAATATATTCTGCCGAGACTAGAAAGTGCTTTACAGCTTTCTGGATTATGCTGGTAAATCCCATTTAAAGCCATCTTTACTTAAAATATGACTCTTCTTTGTGAAAACTTTCCTGATATTGTTGGAACTTAGAAAGTAATACCCCATAGCATTGTGATTTGACATGCTGAGTACTTTGAAATGAAAGACACTGGAAGGGTCACAGAGGTCAAGTCTCTTTCTAACCTTCTCCTCCCCTTCTTTCTCTTATTCTCCCTTTCTCTCTAAAGAAAGGCCGTAGAAACTAGAATTCCTTTTCCTCAAGTTGAGTTGTAATTTCAGTGGATTTGGGAGGCTGAGGCAGGAGGATTCCAAGCTGAGATTAGCCTCAGCAACTCAGTGAGGCCCTAAGTGAGACCTTGTCTCCACATAAAAAGTAAAAAGGGCTGGGCACGTGCTTCAGTGGTTAAGCACCCCTGAGTTCAAACTCTGGAAACACAATCAACCAATCAATCATTCGATTTCTTTGACCTACCTCATCTGATAGATCATAATACCTCAATCCAGAAGGAATGCTGCACAGAGATGCCAAGCTGAATCTAAAGAGGCCTTCCTCTCTCAGACTATCACCAGTAGGAAAAACAGTTTTGTCAAGATTTCTAAAGGGCTGTCCATTTTGAACCTCAGCAAAAAACAGTTTTCCCTATATCTTTGGGTTTTCTTTTCTGAAGTCTCCTGCGTTACAAAAAACTTTGGTTAGGTAATTTATTATGCTTTTCTCTTGTCACACTCTGTTTTGTTACAGGAGTGCTGGCTTTGACATTATGATAGTTGAGCAAGGTTGCTGTACTTCTGCATCTAACATGAACCTTTTAAGGTCTTGTAGAAAATATATAGGATAAGAAAAACACATATAAATGCTTCCAAATACCACCAGATTCTGGGTATTTGAGCTATTGTAAATTTAACCCTATCTGAAATTTCATACATTTACTGACTTTTTCAAAATTGTGTCAGATAAATATGCTGACAACTAAAAAACATATTAAAAAATCAAATATTTTAATCTCTGGCATGTGCAAAGTGAATTTTTAAAACCTATCTCTTTTAGATTGTTTCCTCTGGCCTCCAAAAATCTAATGCAGTTTTACTATCTTAGAATTTTTATTATTTATAAGTCTGGCCTTTTTTTTTTTTCTTTTTTCTTTGTGGTGCTAGGGATTAAACTCTAGGCCTGTGCATGCCAAGCAAATATACCACTGACCTACACCCCCCAGGCCAAACCTTAACTTTTTAACCTTAACTTTTCTAAAACTTCACTTATTCTTAGATACTTTTTTAAAAAGTATCTAAGAATTCCTAATAATTTTAATTATATCAACTATCTTCTCTTTGACTATAAAATAAAGATCTAAAAGTATTTATTTGTCAAATTTAGGGTTTAAAATCTAAGTAGGAACAAAAGAAGAAACAATTTCAACACCCACTTTGGCTTGAAGGAGTTTTTACTTGAATCCAATCCTCATTTGAGTTAATTTCTGCTCCTATATTGATTTCCACTTTACTTACTATTAATAAAAGCTTCCTTTGAGAAATACTTCAGAGAAAATGCAAAGAAAAAAATGTCTTTACTTTATGAAGTTTCGATGCTATGCTATTCTTCCAGTCAAATGTGGTAGGAGTACCCCTCATCATAAGAATGTCTATGTTCTAATTTAGTAAAGATGACTTGTTATGAGTTGTTCCCTTACTTGGTCTTTTGATTAAATGGAAGCATTTATAAAATAGATCAGAAAGAAAAGGCTTCACTCTTTTACAAAGTTAACTGTTTCTATGAGGTCTGTATCTAACTTTGTCAATATGATGTTCCAACGGACAAGTTAACAGTTCCCACTTCTACAGCTGATTCTAAAACAATGAACTCATTTAGCCCAGTGCAAAAAGACCAACATAGAATATGAGGTATTTTATGGTTACTTTTGCCCATCCAAGAGAAGCACAATGATCCTTTAGTTCCTAATTTCTTCAAATCTTGTGGAACATACAGAATCTCTCTGGTTTCAAGGAGATTCTTCCAATAAGTCAGAGGAATCTGTGTTAGAAAGAAAAAATGACCACAATCTTTCCATCTACATCTAATGCCTTTATAACCAGTGCTCCCTGGGGTAAATCAGAGAGAAATGCTGTCAAAAGCCAAAGAAACCTGAGACATGACCAGGCAAAGCCTTCTCTCTTCTGATAGGATATTCTTCCTTTGGAATGTCTACTAGAAAGAAATTTTCTTTTCCTCAGAGCATTATGATTCTTAGTAACATTTCAAAAACCCCAGCCTACCCAAGCAAATAATCTGTACTACCTTTTGCTATTGTTCAATTATTAATTCCTTTAAAACATTAAAAAAGTATCTATATTAAACTACTCAAAAATTCGACATACTTTGAGGCTGACAGCATGTATAAATGAGACATAATACGTATCAAATGTGGAATAAAAAGATTTCTGTGGAATCAAAATGAATACTAGAAGGGAGGATTGGGAAGGGAGTAGATAGTACAGATTTTCTTGGAAAAGTAATGTTAAATTAAGTGTTTTGGTAGAAAGATAACTCAGAGTTATGCTCTGGCTAATCTTCAGTGAGGACAGGACCCTGGAATATAAGTTTCTCTTGTTCCTGAAGTGATACCTTTTTCTTTTTTTTCCAAGGCTATAACATCATATAAGAGCCTACCTGACATTTTGGAGAATTTGCTGTGCTGGGATTGATATTCCGCATTGCCTAAGAGTGAAAAATAAGACGGATAAAGATTACTTTTAAGCCACATGGTTTGGCTGTGTAGGCTCTTACAAATTGTATCCAGACATATCACCATAGCACAGAATTCCCAAGCTACCCAAAGAGCAGCAGGCTGAGGAAGACAGGAGCCAATGGAGTCACCACATAACAACTGAAACTTCAGAAGTTTTTTAACAGCACTGAGGATAGGACAGCAAGACTTCAAATGTCAGGACTAAATAAAATTTGGTAACAGTCAGGTAGGTTCTTTCCTTCTAAGTATTAGATTAAGCAGGTAAAATATTTGTGATGTTTCAGTGATGAGATACTGTCAATGGAAGAAGTTTGCAGGAAGCCAGATGACTTAAGATATACTGAATTTATATTGATTGCTAAAGCAAAAACAAAAAAATTCTAAAAAATAGACTATTAGTATGAGTCAGAGCAGATTGGTCACTTCAATATAAGAAAGACAACACAGTAGGTAGCAAAGAAGAACAAAGATGTTACCTTTAAAAGAAGTGAAGCTATTCTGTCCAGGACCCATCACCCAAAGTAAGAATGAGTACAAGATTTGGAAAAATTCTTCAAAGAAAGAGTTTTATAAGTAGCAACATTTTGCCCACCAAAAACCAAAAACTAAACTGATCTATGGCACACAACAAAATAATGACTGGCTCATTTCTAGACTTTAAAAATTATGAACAGCAAAGACTTTGACATTACTAGCAACTTTTTTCTCATTAAGGTTTCTTGATTTTAATAGTTCTCATTCATGTGAAATTGACACTTGTGTTTACTTAGACCGACTAGGACTCAGGCACAACAAAATAAAAAGCAAATCATGCAAACAGCTTTTAAACTTCTTTATTTCTTCTAACAATCATGTAATTAAATTCTCAGTGATATCTTGTTCTGACAACACAGTTTCATATAAGTGAGAAATATCTTTTTCTTTAATTTGCTAGAAAGTCAGTAAGAGGAACAATAAACTGTTACTATGTGTCCTCTCTCCATCTTCCTTATGGTGAAATTTCTTTTAAGACCAATTCCTGACATCATATGCTAGCACAAACTCTCTTACTCTCTCTGAGGAATCACCTTTAAGGCCAACCACACTAGAACTACATTGACAGATTACTGACAGAGCACAAACAGTTTAAAGGTAAGTCTGTCTGAGATTCCATGACTACTTAATATAATCAATTCCTTAGGTACTAGTAGTTCCTTACATCCCAAATCAGAGTTCAGGGTTCAGAGAACTTAACTTCATGTATTAGATAATACTGAAGTGGTACTTTAAAAAACTAGCCCTTTAAAAAAAAAGTATCTTTAAATATATATATCTTGGCAATAAAAATGTAGAGTATAATTGATTTTTAACCCTTTTTTATTTTGGTACCACGGACTGAACCCAGGGGGCACTCAACCACTGGGCCATGTCTCCTACCCTCTTTATTTTCTATATTGAGACAGGGTCTTGCTAAACTGCTTAGGACCTAAGTTGCTGAGGCTGGCCTCCAAACTGAGATCCTCTTGCCTCAGCCTCCTGAATCACTAAGATTACAGGCATGTGCCACTACAATTGGCTGTATAATTGATTTTTTTTTTTGGTGGTGGTGGTGCTAGGGATTGAACCCAGGACCTTGTGCATACAGGACATGCACTCTACCAACTGAGTTATATCCTCAGCCCATGTATAATTGATTTTTAAAGGTCTACCCTTAGCATGTTATTTTCAAAAGGACACAGTATAGATACATGTATTTTTTGTTTGTCAACAATATCTCAGAAAAAACAAAAACCAACATATTTACTTTACCTCCAGAGGAAAGAACCAGGGAAACAGGGAAAAGGAAATTTGATTTCTAGTGTATGTTCACCTTTCATATACTTTTCCTGCTATATCATTTATTTTACAGAAAGATTTTGTATTGTTTCTTTTTAGCTATACGTAATATTAGGGTTCATTTTGACATAATTATAAAAGCGTGGAATATAATTTTATCTGATTCAGTTATACCATGTTTGAACTAGCTATTCAAAACATGCTCATAAAATGAATTTTAAAATCTGTATTACTTAACATCAGATCACATCTCTTTTATCTTAAATTTTCTCAAACAAGATAAAGCAAAAATTAATTTTGACATGAGGGATTATTTGTTCTTTTGCAACATAAAGACCAATAGTACTTTTTGAAAGAAATTGGTGAAAAAGAATTTCAAGCTCTCTACTATCAGGTCCCATCTTTCTCACTATGAAAAAACACCTATAAGTACTGAGGATTGAACCCAGGCCCCTGTGCATGCTAAAAAAATGTTCTACCACTGAGCTACAAACCCAGTTCCATAAATGGGTAATTTTAAGAAATATCAAGATATTATAAATTTGGGAGTAATTGGCATTATGTTTTAAGTAAAGATTCTTAGATTTAGTAATACTGAAACACATCTGTCATTTAAATACACACAGACACACACACTAGATTTAAAGATGTTTTCCCCCAAGTGATATTCCACAGTTTCTTCATTAATAAAATCCTCAGAAACACAGTAATCCAAAATATCATGTACATTTGAGGAAGCATCCTCATTTTCTTCAATTTTTGCTCAACTGCAATAACCATGGCCAAAATATCTCTTTATGATACAGGTTATGTTATCCCATATGATCAAAGGCCATTTAAGAAAGAAAACAAAATCAGAACTGGACAGAATAATTCTCTGTTACTGATTTCACTGAAACAACATTCCCCAGTAACTAATAAATGATAAAATGAAATTTGCCCAATTTCATTCATGTAGGAAAACTCCCAAAATTGAAAGGCTGGTTTCTAACCTGTGGCCTCACCTGCCGAAGCAGTTCTTGCTGTTTCAATCGCAGTCTCTCTTTCTCCATCTGCAATTGTTGCAGCCTCATCTGTTGCTGCTGGTTGGAGTTGCCACTACCCATAACACCTCCTTGTGGGCTCTGGGGAGCCAAAGGTGGTGGTTGTTTCACTGGAGCACTCTGACTGATTCTCTGGTTCATGGCTGAAATAAAACAAAAGATTTGTTCTAAAAATTTAGTTAAAGGATGACTTAGTTATTCAAAAGCAACTGGGAATATTTAATGTATTGTTTTTGTAGTATAACTAGAAATAACCTAAAAATATGTCAATAGTACAATGGTTACATAACTTGTCATTCATCATTTTTACAGGATGCAAGGCAGTAATAAGAGGAAAGAAACATGAGATAGCTCCATAAAATATAAACTGAAGAATAGTCAAGAAGCAAATTAACATCTGTCAACTCTGAAGGTGGCACACTAAGTGAGAGGGACTTTATGTAACTTTTGATACAATGACATTAAAAGAAATCAAGGTGATAGGCCATTCTCTATCATAACCCTTGCTAAAAACTCCCAAATAACTGTTTTTTTGTTTTTTTTTTTTTAATTACTGGCCTCCCAGGCACAGATCAGACTTCTTGTGGTGACTTTCATGTGTCCTGTAGGGTAGAATAGTGGCCACATGATAAACACCACCCGCTTTTGTGCAAACATAGGAATGTTTCCCAGAGTCCAACATTAAAAAGTCTTCTTGAGGCTTGATTTGGTGGTGCATGCCTGTAATCCCAAAGACTCGGGAGACTGAGGCAGGAGAATACTAAATTTGAGGCCAGCCGCAGCAACTTGGGTGAGAAAGTTGGGATACAGCTTAGTGGTAAAACACACCTGGGTTTGTTCCCTGGTTTCCCTCCACCCTCAACCAAAAATAAAAAATAAAAATCTTCTTGGGCTGGGGTACAAAAAAGAAAGAAGAATCCTTTTCCCTCTAGACACTGTCTCAGAATTTTCCCACTTTGTCTATTGACATTTCTCACTGAATTCTAATTTTTTTTTGTTTATACTTGTATAAGGAGGATATTGTTAGTGGGGGGAAACATCCTATTTATTTACAAATCCTCATGCCTGAAAAAAACTATTTCTAAATTGAGCATTTATTTACTGAGGCAGAAAGTTAAGGCAAAAAAAAATTTATTTTATTTTTTTAGTTGTTGATAGACCTTTATTTTATTTATATGTGGTGCTGAGAATTGAACCCAGTGCCTCACACATGCCAGGCAAGTATGCTGTAGCTGAGTCCCAGCCCCAGCCCTAAGGTAAAAATTTTAAGGTAAAAAAAATCATGAGTGCACAAATTTTTTTTGCATGGGGAGTGTTCTGGAATCTTAATCCAGAAATACGCTAATACTGAGCTGCATCTCAGCCCTTTTTATTTTAAGATAGGGTCCTGCTAAGTTTCCTAGGTAGATTTGATCATATAATCCCAACTTTGGCTTCTCCTTCCTCAGTGTCGTCGTCCCCTGTCTCCCCCACCCCGTTCCACCCCCCCACCCCTGACTGGGGATTGAACCCAGGAGCACTTAACCACTAAGCCATATCCCCTCCCCTTTTAATTTTTTATTTTGAGAGAGGGTACCATCAAATTACTGAGGCTAGCCTTGAACTTGTGATCCTCCTGCCTCAGTCTCCCAAGTTGCTGGAATTACAGGCATGTGGTACTATACCCAGATAATGTCTACATTTTTTAGGATGAGCTAAAATGTAGTTCCATGGTAGCCAACAAGCATTATTTTATTTTAAAAGTTATAAAATCACAGATTTTAAAATATTTTTATGATACATTTTAATCCAACAGAGTTGTCTTGACCAATGTTCAAAAAGCACCATTTTGGCCAGTGGAAGACCTTTAAATTGGATCCTTTTACTATGGTTACAGTGGGCTTGATTATCTCCCCTGCTTGGTTTTTCCAGGTTCATCTTGTATCTTTTCCCTGCCCCCAGATTTTAGTTCACTTTTTTCCTAAGAAGCCCTCGTTTCTTTTAGTAGAAAATGTTATTTAACATTAATCTGTGGAATCAGGGTACCTATTATTTTGTTGATTCTTTGGCCACTGATTCTAGGTGGTTGCTTCCTTCAGAAAATTTGTATTTCTAATTCAAATTTAGGACTCAGTTTTTACTTAAGAGTATCTGCCCCCAACCCATACTGGGGACCCAACCCAGGAATGCTCTGCTACTAAGCCACATCCCTAGCTCTTTTTATTTTTTACTTTGGGACAGGAAGGGTCTCATACTAAGTTTGAGGCTGGCCTTGAATTTGAGATCCTTTTGCCTGTTTCCCAAGTTGCTAGGATTACAGGTGTGTACCGTCATGTCTAGCTACGTGATCTTAAAACAATTACTTTTATCTCATGATGAAAAGCTGATTTTAACATTAATATTATACTTCCATATATATGTAATCATCTAAATAAAAACTATGAACAAATGATTACTAAGAAGTATCAGATTTCTTTGCAAATTTTATATATTATTAGGTATATACAGTGAAATCTTTGTGGTTTAAAGTTGCCTGAAAGAATTCCTCCTTATATGATTAGGCCAACAATTCAATATAAAGATTTACTTGTGAGATTTTGCTCTTGAATTTGGGAACCTGATTTCCTTATCTTCCTACCCTACCCTCCAACAGGTAACAGAAACCATGCTACATGCTATGAATTTTTTCCTCCATTTTGCTCCCCCCCACCCATTTAATATAACCTTGACATGACTCCAAAGGAGCGGCTTTCCCCCCATTTTTTGGAAATAGCTGATTCCTATTTTATTCAATCCATTTTCTTTTAGGTTTTCACTACTACTTAAGAATGTTGTATAATAAGCTCAAACATAGACCTCTTAGTTGTTAAAAGCATAAGTAATTTTATAAGATATTGCCAAATCTGCTCATCCCAAGAAGGACTGTACTTTGTTGTTTCTTCATGTGATGAGAGGGCCTCCTTTCACCTAACTCTTGCTGAATTCTTGGATTTTTGCTATTATGAAAAGATGACAAATAGAATAGTTCTAAGCTTTAAGATTACCTCTTCTACTGATAATCATCCCATTTCTCCCTCCTCTTCCACAGAAACAAACCTCCTTTCATTTCATCACGACATTTACTGTTTCTAAGTACATCTATGACTCACAGAGACATGCATGTTTGTTTATCTTTCCTACAAGACCTAAATGGAAAAAGATGAGTGGTAGAGATTAAACTGAGGGGATCCTTCCTTCTTTTTGGTGAATCATGTTCCTGACATTCTAAGAGAACACTTATAGAGATACATTTTATGCATTGAGCTATGTCAGGTTCAATAGTATTGACTTAAATATGAATAGAGGACTCATCGAGATCCATTAGGTATAGTGAACATGCTGTAACCTGAGCCCTTCAGCAAATAACTATTGGGAGTTGGGGGGGATATTTTCAGCTTCAAATAATTAAAAAAAAAAAAAAAAAGGCTAGAAAACAGTCTGTTAGTAAGTTCAGAAGTGCTGGAATTATAAAACATAACTGATTTCAAAATAGCTTCTGTACAACCTCTATGGAAATCAGTATGGAAGTTCCTCTAAAGACTAGGAATGATTGGGTGCAGTGGCACATGCCTGTAATCCCAGCAACTGGGGAGGTTGAGGCAGGAGGATTCCAAATTCCAGTCCAGTCTCAGCAATTTCATGAGGCCCTAAGCAACTTAGCAACACCCCGCCTCAAAATAAAAAATTAAAAGGGCTGGGATGTAGCTCAGTGATAAGGTGCCCCTGGGTTAAATCCTCAGTATCTTTAAAAAAAAAAAAAGACTAGCCAGGTACAGTGGCACATGCCTGTAATCCCAGAGGCTTGGGAGGCTGAGGCAGTTGGGCTGCAGGTTCAAAGCCAGCCTCGGCAAGAGAGGCGCTAAGCAACTCAGTGAGACCCTGTCTCTAATTTTATTAATTAATAAATGCAAAATAGGCCTGAGGATGTGGCTCAGTGGTTGAGTGTCCCTGAGTTCAACAACCAGTACCCCTCCAGCTATAGCACTCCTTGGTATTCATTGTAAAGAATACATGCATACCCATGTTTATAGCAGCACAATTTATAACAGCCAAATTATAGAACCAACTTATGTGTTGTCAATGGGTGAATGGATAAAGAAAATGTGCTATATATACACAAAAAGTGTTATTTATTCAGCCATCAAGAAAACTGAAATTATGTTATTTGGTGGTAAATGAATGGAAATAGAGTACATCATGCTGAGTGAAATAAGCAAAACTCAGAAAGTCTAGGGTTGTTATATTTTTCTCTCACATGTGGAAACTAGAGAGAAAAAAAGGGGAAAATAAAGTGGGAGGCCTTACGAAAACAGAAGATAGACCAGTAGAGAAGATGATGAGAACCAGGGAGAAGGTGGAGGGAGGTAATGGGGAGGTATTGGGGACCAAAATGACCAAACTATACTGTTATATTTTATGCATATACAAAACAACAAATTCCACTGTTAATGTAATTATGCAAGGCACTAGTAAAAATGGGTGGAAAAAAATGAAAGCAGAGAAAGGCAAAAGAAAGCAAAAACAAACCAACCTCCATCAGATTCTAAGGCTCTTAAATATTTCTTCTATTAAAAAACATTAGGAAAAGTTTGAGCTTTCTACAAATTGTATTAATCTAACATTTAATAAGATATAAAGTAATATATACTTGGTGAAAACAAGCTGGAAAATAACAAAACTGCATGAAAATAAAAAGGTAAATATCCTTTGCTTCTCACCAGTTTACCAGCACTTGATATCAAAAGCAGTAATCATTCATTAATGATAAAAGCCATGGCTTATGGCCAACTGAACTGGCTGGGAAGGACCTTTTCAAATCTAGGCTTATCTGACTATTCAAAAACCACAGAATGGGGTGACACAGGATATCAAAAGATGGAGGAAGAATGTGTTCCCAAATTAAACAGAAACTTGCACAAAATATCTAGCAGAAAGTCTAGTGACTATGCTGAGCACTTCTGGCTGTGTTTATCTAAGTGTTGTTACCTGTGGATACAAGGAGCACTACAAGGTTTCCATATAAAGAGCTCTTTTAAATGACCAATTCAAACAACCTTGTTTATCTACTGAAGCTGGGATTTATTCCTCTCCAGAACCATCTTGTTCTTCACCTTCTGATTATCTT